AATCACTTATATAAATTATTAAATAAAGATACGAGCAAGACCTCACCTTTAAAAAAAAAAAAAAAAAAAAAAAAAAAAGTTATTCATATTATGGATATAATATTTAGTCCGAAGGGTCTATTATAATGAGAGTAGAATGTAGTATTGTCTTTCTTGCATTTATATGATTCATTACTTTTAATTTTTATTTTTAACTATGTAGTGAAATAAAAAAAAGTACATACCCTCTAAGCATATAAAATATGATAATTCTCATAATTCTTATTATGACCAAATATGTACTCCTTATGTAGATAATTAATATACATGGAACTATTAATTCTTCAGATTTAATTTTTGCAGGACTTAAAAGTTATAGATCAAAATTTTATTGTGGTAGATAAGATTGCAAAAAGTAAATAAAAATTGAAAGAAAAAATCAAATAAATTGTTTAAAAAGTAATTCATAGAATATTTTAATTTTATCGAATTAAATATAGCATAGGTGACACTTTTGGCAAGTTTTGAATTAATCAAGAATGTGGCACAACACTGCTTTATATGACAAAATTAGCAAACCATGTAATACTAATTGTCACATGGCACAATATATAAAAATCAACAATCTATTTTGATTTTTTATTAGCATGTAATAATTATTATATTCTATTTTGATGATTTAAATTCACAGGAAAAGTTAAATTAGTTGATGTTACATAGCTAATTTTTCACCCAGTTTTCAATATATAAAAAAACATAATAAATGGTGTAGTGAAGGGATAGTTTAATTCAACTTTTTGGTGTTATATTTTTTCTGTTTATGGTATATTTCAAAATGATGATAATATATGTTTTTGATGTCGCTTATGCTAATTCTTTAAAAAAATCTTAGTAAGAGTAATGATCTTTGTTTGTTTATTTTTGGAATGATTATGATATTAAAAAAGTACAGTGGCACCAACTATAGTTGTTAGATAATACCATGTAATGCTAAATGTCACATATCATTATTTAATAAAAACTAGATTAAATTTTTAGGTATTGGTATTTTATAATAGGTGATGATTATCATCACATGGTTTCATTTAACAACTATAGCATCGACAGAATTTCGCTAAAACATTTTGATCAGCCAATCAAAATGTGTTTATTTCTAATTTTTGACTATTTTTTTAAAATTCTAGCGATGTTTTCCTACTTACTACTTAATTAAACTTAATAAAATAATTTTATTTCAATTTTATACATCCATGGAATTAAAATAAAAATTTTTATTAAATCAGGATAGTTTGCTGTTGAAAAATCTTTGCTAGAAATTTTAAAAAATATAGAAAATTGGAAAAACAAAATCAGATGAATTTTTTCTTCTTTTATACTTAAACGAAGATTTTTTGATAATTAACTATCCAAATTCGATAAAACTTTTTTTATTTTAATTCCACTAATGTATAGAATTAAAATAAAATTATTTTATTAAGTTTAATTGAGTGGTTGGTGAGAAAATATCGCTAAGATTTTAAAAAAATAGTCAAAAATTAAAAATAACCAAATTTTGATTGGCTAATCAAAATGTTTTAGATTGCAGATCAGTAAAATTCTGTTGGTGCTGCTGAGGTTTTATATCAAAATCTCCAAAAAGCAAATCCTGAAATTTAATTGTCACGTTGTGTATTGTTAGATTCCAATATTTGAATCCCATCTTTATTAGTCATCATAATTACCAATCATAAGTAGGATTTGAATATTAGAACCTGACAAAACATGAGATAACAATTAAATTTTAGGATTTGGATTTTTGCAATTTTGACATAAAACCTCTGCTGGGTACTTGATATTAAAATAAGATAATGATCTATTTAAATCTGTAATTATTGTAGTGGCTTATGCTGAAATCAGCTTATGCTAAGGTTTGGGGTTTTTATTTAAATCCCTAATAGCTACTGAAATTGATATATACTTATTTATTATAAATACTAACCCTAATTTCTAATCTAACTATAAAAAAAAAGGACTACAAAAAAGCCCAAAACTTTTAGAATTTTAATAATAAAATAAGTCAAATCTCTAGTATAAGCCAATCTCAGCATAAGCTGCTACAATTATTATTGTAATATATATTAATATCATTATAATTTATATTATTGTGAATTATTAATCAATTGTTAAAAAAGTCGACTTTTGATTATTACATTAAAAAATTGACCTCTGTCTATTATGTGCATATTATAATATTGAAATTAGTTTGAAATATAGATAATAATAATAGCATACATTAGTGAATCACATACTGTATATCACCAGGATAGTAAAGTTTGTGATGATAACTCATAAAAATAATATTTCATTTATATATATGATTTTTTAAGATGTACCTCCATAATATGTTTAGTTTAAAGTCTAATTAATTAGTATAGTTTTTATATTTCTTGCTAAGACTTATTAAACACCAAACATGTTGAATAAGCATTCGAACAAAATAATAATGTTGACATTATTGTTACTATAGTCTGTAAAACAGTTATTATGAATATTATTTCACCAAATTTCACCATATTTCACCAGCATCTATAACCCAGGCTGAATTCTGAAAAAATGGTACATTTCTGTCATTTAATTAGATTATATTTTATTATGCTTTTCAGCATCAAATGGGTATTCTGGCTATAACTTATATTCAGCCTCAGGAACCTCAGAATTTAATAATATATACGCAACATTTATTTATAGATATTTAAATCGAAAAAATCCAGTTTCCTTTTTGTGCAAGGCGTTGAAAACTTTTTAATTATACTGTGACAATTAAAAGCTCTATTTTGAATACTGTATTAAAATAACTATATATTGAACATAGAGATGGGACTAACAATACGAAAAAAAGGTGATTCTAAATCGTCGCATTAATAATTTATGAAGAAAACAAATTTTTTTTCAATTATTCACGGATATAACATTTGAATTTTTAATTTTTAAGACCGTTATTAATTATATATACCATTCAGATCGATTCAAAATTTAAATAATTCATATTTAAATTGAAAAAATCCAATTTCTTGTATAATTTCTTAAAATCATTAAAAAGTACCAATTCTTTATCCACCCTCAAATAGTTCACAAACTGAAAACCCAAGTAATAATTATCAATATTCTTTTGGTCCGAATGGTAATTTTGAAGAATTTATTAGTAATGATAGAAACTTAGAAAATATATGATAGTTAGTTTTAATTAAATATGTAAAAAAATTACAAACTTTATATATTTCATTAATTTTCATTAATTCACCCTTGCATCCTTGACAGCTACCCTTTAAGACTTTATCATTATATGTTATTTGATTTTATTGTTATTTTTGTAATTAGAATTTTAATTAAATTTTTTATTAATTTATATATTAGAATTTATAAGATATTTGAATTATCTCGTGATTTTGTTAGTTACGGGTTCAGTCGACAAATTTATTAATTTTAAATTAGACTATAATAGCATGAAGACCTTTGTCGAGAAGCATAACTCTTTCCAATTCTTGTCTAATACTTGATTGACTTGCTGGTTTTCCAACCCAACCATTCATACCTACTTCAAAATATCGGTCTTCACAAGGATTTGTAGTATAAGCTATTATTGGTATCTGTCGATTTTTTTCAAGTACTTTAGAACCTGTGGAATGTATAGCTAAGGTTGTTTCTATGCCAGAAATTTCTGGAATGTCTATATTCATAAAGATTATATTAAAAGTTTCTAGTGATAATTTATTAAGAGCTTCTTTGCCACTCGCAGTACAAGAAGTAAGATGACCAAATTCTTTAGTGAGAATTTTCGAAAGCATTTTAGCTGTTATATTGTTGTCGTCAACGATTAAAGCTTTTACCAAAGGTGATATTGACAGAGCAGTCACCATCCCTGCAGTTACTGACAATATTGAGGAAACACCAGTTGTTGTGGGTGAAGCTATTAAAAAAAGTGCAGTCCGCTATATTTTAATTCATTAAAAAAAAAAAAAAAAAAACAAATACTTTTTTAAAAAAAATTCTTGCGTCTTGCATAGTAGAAATAATCAACTCGACTAAGTCAGATGATAATATTTGTGTTGATTGTAAATGACTAATCAGATTTAAAACCCTATTGATAATAGAATTTGGATTAGAACTAAAAATTAGCTTTGTAACAATAAATAAACTATATTCATAAAATAAATCAAATATATACATCAATTGATTAAAGAATATCCGAAATTAATACAATTTATTTTATATTACTGTATAATTAACAATATATAAAAAAAATTGAATCCAGGTGACATCAATACTCTTTAGTGTTTCATTGACTTTATTTCTAAATTAGAATTATAAACAAGAATTGTCAAATATCTTTGACTTCGTTTTCGTTTTGATAAATAGTCTCTTCTATGTTTTTAAAATTTATGATGAGATAATAATAATATTTCCCGAATAGACTTTCAGGAAATGATATTTTTATATTTTTTTACCTGCAATATCTAAGAACTTAACTTTAATACATACTTAGTAAATGTATATTTACGGAAGAAATAATTTTATTAGAAAATCGAGATACATTTATTTTTAAACTTTTTGAAGTTCATTTAATTGAAGCAAAAGCTAAACATTTTACATGGATCTATTAAAAATCAATTTCAAAATTTACCAAGTGGTGTACCGTATAAATAATAAAAATCAGAGCGAAAGCAAAGGTTCAGGTTATATTGATCTGCATAATAAAAAAAAAGTTTCACTTATTTCATCAAATTGAAACCTCAATAAGTAGGTTTTAAAGATTAGAATGATTGGATTAAAGTCACGCTAAAAATATTGATGTTCATTGTAATATTTTGATGATTAATTGATTTTCAATTCAAGATGAAAATTAAATATTAATTAACGTAACAAAGATAGCAATCAAGTTTGTTAAACAAATTATGTAATCATTTTAATTAACAAAAATTGTGTAAAGCTGCACAAAAGATTTGTAATAAAAAATATATTGACATCTTGATTCAGATTAAATTGACTTTTTGAATCAGAAATTCAGTTAA